CTGATGCGCCCTACTTTAGTATTTTACTCTGTCTAACGCCAGACGATTTTACTCGTCAAGGGGAGAGCATTGGTGCTCAATGGGTTAAAGGCACATCTTCGTCAAGAGTTTCGTTGAAATCCTTATTTTTTGTTACGAAACAGTTATCCGCCAACTTGAATGCAAATTCTTTATTCTTTATTTTAAAATACATACAACACCAATTTAATTAAGCTGCTCAACCAATTCTATGCATGTCAATCCCCACTTGATGGTCAGCACCTACAGTAATTATGCTAGCCTAATTTGTACACTAACACAAATGGTCAAAATAAATGGAAATGTAGCAATCTTGGCTTAGCTGAACAGGCCAAAACGTGTACAAATAACTTCAAGTAGTTAGCAGAAATAAGGAATAAATATTTATTGTATTGTGCTGTTCACTTTCTAGTTTAAGTTTAATACAGTACTACTTGATGCTATCCAACTTGAGAATCAATGTGAAATGGTCAAGTTATGTGGTAAATACAGATCATGTGTGGGACAAACAGGCCAGAATTGTTATTTGCACAATAATTGGGATTTTGTGAGAATGATATTTACCAGTTGCTATTGGATTTTGAATATCAATATTATTATATTAACTAAATTGACACACAAGGGAGATAGACATGCATATAATTGATTGAGACAAAATTAATATATTAATATATTAATATAATAAATTATTCAGAAAATAGGATAACAATTTTACTTAATTATTAATTAAAGATTATTTCATTGGACAACTACTGATTTTGGAACACAATGTTGTGGCATCCATGCCAGTGGTGCACTGCACCTTGCTTGCCACCTTCCCGATTTTTCTGTGGGCACACAATTCTTGTGTGCCCCTTCTTCCCGCACACCCAGCATAGCATTCCTGTTTAATATTAATCAACAATAAATGTACACAACTGTAGTTTCATATTTCATAAACAGTGTAATTGTGAATGTCTTACAATTGAAAAAATAGGTACGCATTGCGTACATGTGGTTAGCCTGTAGGATTGGCAATTGTTATAGCGTCATATAGCTTATTTCGTTCAATATAATGAATGAAAGATCTTGGTTGATTTTTCAACCATTGAACCATAAAATTTTTATTCTTCATTCTTTGTCGTATGAAGCCAAATACCGTATAACATAGCCATAATACAGCAACCTTTTTAAAAACAAACCAGAAAATATTAAATTAACTCAACTATTTCGTTGTAAACGGCTAAAATAAAATTTTAAAACTCTTTCTCGCTCAGTCGCAAGCATCGTAGGTCGCTAAAAGCTGCCAACCTTTAAGGTCCAGACACACCGGGCGCGATTCGACAACGCGACGCGATTTTATAGTTTTTGAAAGTTAATACAACAGCCAATGAGAGCAAATCTTAAAAGACATGTAGACCAAATAACGCAAAATGTTATAACGCTTCTAAATACTTGGAAAATTTAAATTAGGATTAAAGTTATCGGTCAGTGAAAATCGAATCGCATCCGGTGTGTCTGGACCTTTAGATGTTCATATCTTGAGTTTAGTGCATGCTATGAACACAATAATACCACCATTTGATTCAGTGAAAAAATCAAATAGTTCCTTACAATAGCTTTAGTCATTATCAACATTGTAGCGATTTATTGCCTCTGAAAGGCAAGCGAGATTACTCAATAGAAATATAGACTGGCCGTACCGTTCGCTGAACATATAACTTCGGTCACGCTACAGGGGTAATGTGACTCGAATCGGTTTCCGACGTTTCCCGAGTGCTAGGACAGCATTGTTTCGACAATCAGTTTGTATTTCCGGTTGAAGCTCTCACTAAAAATTTAGATATTCTGAAATAGCGAAATAAAAGATGCAAATCTGTAGATACAAGCTTGAAAATAACACTCTGAATAGTGTTTTGGATTCTGATTCGAAGAAGACTATTACGAAAAAGATATGTTGAAAGGGACCAAAGTTCTGTTCGGCGAAATGTTATGCACTTATGCCTTTATAGTTGGTAATACATTGACATTGTTTACATTGTTCGGGAAAATTGTGTGAAATAATGGTATCGCTTAACTTCTAAAGATCGTAAATAGCTATAATGTTCATGTTGACATTTTACTAAAACCATCCATTGTTTCACTGAATTGAACGGTGATATTTTCATCCACATAGCATGCACTGAACCAAAGATATATGAACCTCCAAAGTAAACCGACGATATGATTTATAGTATGTCCATATCGATCTGCTTTAATTATGCGCAAGCGAAAGAGTATGCCAGAGCCTTTAACTACAAAATTTCATAAACCAACGACTCTTTCGTATGCCTCTAAATTAACTACAAAATTCCATAAACCAACGGCTCTTTCGTATGCATTTAACTACAAAATTTTATAAACCAAGGGCTCTTTCGTATTTCGTATGCGTTTAATTAACTACAATATTTCGCACATGCCAGGGTCTGAAATTTGCGGTATCCCGATATCCACGGGATACTGAAATTTGGTTTTGGATACTAAGTTTATTTTACTTGTATCCCGATGGGATACCACATTTTTTTAAAAAACGGGATAGCAGTTAATGTTTTAGTAGTCTCCCCACATTTTTGTTCATTAAATAGTGCTGTAACACAAGTCTAGCATTCGTCTTAACGTTGTATTTATGCATGTAGTCCACTCATGGTTCAATTCGCGAGTCGCCATTTTGAATAGTGTTTCCACATTGAAACAACTGTCCAGATTTCATTGAAAAGAATCTTTTTGAAATCAAGAAAAGTCTAGCCTGCGTAGCAGGCGGTATTCGCGGGCACGTGAAGAAAAGTCAAGAAGATTGTAAGGAAATTTGAAGGTCGATAGTTAGCAAAAAAGAAATACATTTTTTTTGCTGCCGTCATGAACTAAAATACTCATAAATAATCCATGCTTTCTTGTGATATTATGTAAAAAATATTTAATTAAAACTACCAAAACTCCTGATGCAGGCAATGGTCTTCATGATAATACAGCCAATGATGATGATAATGACATGACTGTGGTTCCCATTTGAGTGCATACTGATAGCATTAAAAATCAGAGAAGTTGACACTTAGACTTTAATCTATAATTAAATAACCCTGTTAACTGTTAAGAAATTGAATATTTGAACTGTATAAGTTCCTTTTAGGATTCTAGTATGTTAAACATAAACTGTAGTTCCCATTTGAGTGCATACTGATAGCATTAAAAATCAGAGAAGTTGACACTTAGACTTTAATCTATAATTAAATAACCCTGTTAACTGTTAAGAAATTGAATATTTGAACTGTATAAGTTCCTTTTAGGATTCTAGTATGTTAAACATAAAATGCGATGGATGAAAATGCTTGACTAAGAGTAAGCCTTAGAGTGATGTTGGGTCTGGCCCTGTGGGATACGAAAAGCCAACTAGTTAAGTATCCATATTTAGGATACTGGATTATCGGGAGGGATACCAAATTTTAAAACCTTGGTATCCATGTGGATACTTAAAAAAAATCAAATTTCAGACCCTGCATGCGCAAACTAAAAACTGTCACACTAAACTTTTTTATGGTTTTCTACATAGTGGTTAGCTGCGCATGCGCAGGCTAACCACAAAAAATCTGTCTAATTTTAATGAATACAGGAAATGAGCATAACAGTCAAACAGTCATAACGACAGGCATTAATCATAGAGCTGTCTTCAGTGACTTTTATACCCTCTTGCTTTTCAGACAACTTTTCATCATCACGAACAACCTTCGACATATCCGAAGGCAACAACTCCATTTGTACCGGTACCTGTAAGATAGACAAAAATTATTTTAATAAGCCTATTCACCCAAAGCTGACAAATACAAAAGAAATATTTTGAAAAATATGAAAATTATTTACAAAATTACAGTACATAGGATGTTCGACTATTAGGGTTAGGGTTACTAACTAATGATGTAATCCATCAATTAGCTACCCATCAATTGATGTGAGCAGCAACTTTCTTTTTAGAGGAAGAAAGAGATTTGTTAACAATAGGAAAAATATTCTGGCAGCCTTTGCTGATAACATGTCGCAGCAACAGTAGAGGATGTCAAGAATGTCCAAATAATGTTTAGAGATGTGTTCTGAAAAAAATTGCCAGGTTTTGTTTGTTTAGGTATGAAAAGCTTTCATATGATTAATTCATAAACACTGTCTCACTTATTGTAAAAAAATATTTTATGCTCTTGTTCACTGGGCAAACATGAGAAAGGACTTTTTTGTATCAATCATTTTCTATATTGTGTGCCTACAATAGTTTGCTCTTCGCCTCATACACTGAGCTGGTGTCAGAGGTAAGAACACAATATATATTGTAGATATATAATAATTATATATATTGTAGATAATCTAATATTGTATATATATTAGATTCATAGATTGTATGAAAATTAAGGTTTGTCCAATTATCCAATATCAAAAGGCCCATGCAAAAGAGGTTGCATGACAACATCTTTACATCCCTATAACTTTGGCAGTTACAGTATGTCAGGCATTAATTATTGAATAATGTTAAAATTCAGTATTAATTACCCCTCATGTACAGTATGACCATTAATTGTACTGATACACTCATAATAAACTGTAAATATCACAACCAACCTGACCAAAGCAATCATTAAAGATTGTTGGTACAGCATATGGCTTTAACACTGGTCTCTGGCTGTAACCCATCTCGAACATATCAGCACTAAAATGCTTCGAACACAAACGACTATTTTTCATAGGAACAAACTTCACTGGCATAAGTTTGCTTATATTCGTCACCCATATGCTGTGTAATTCAGGGAATCTCTTCTCATCTGGAAAGCTTTCAAGTAAATGAACAATTGTTTTTAGTGTCTAGTTACACTGTTCAATATGATACATATAACTTACAATATAAACAATGCCACACTAAACAACACATGGTTTAGTCCACAATAAAGACAATACAATGAGTGAAAGGCTTTGTACATTTAAAGCTAGTCGTATCATTATCATATTGTTAAAATTCTCATTTGAAATTTTTTAAAATAGCATTATAAAACAAATTATCTGTTAGGATATCGATAGGATTTTAGACCAGCTGCCTTGCACAGCTTGCTGCCTGGCATTTCTGTACTGTACTGTCTGCAATAAGGTCAGTGATAAGGTTAGCGCTATACGTGACACGCCATCATCACATCCATCAACTTGCATGAAAATAAATACTTGCTCGATAACAGCTCCACAAGCCGGTCAACATTTTTAAATATTGGTCTGCTTTTGCACTGTAGTACACCAATAAATAGCCAAGTTACAAAATGTCAAATACAAGGATTCACTAACATAAATTGTATTGTACGTTGCTTGCCAATAAATTTCATGAATTCACAAATTTACGCATTCAATACAGCAATACAGCATGCGTTAAATTATTACAAAAAACGAGATTATACGAGCCTTACCCATGTGAGGACAGGTCCTTTCTTTCAGTAGATTTTTGGCAACCAGGAATTGAACAAAAAGTTGGCATGGTTGCAAATGTCTCGCTTTAATATAAGAAAATTTCCGACCGAAATTTTGAATTTACCTCCTTCTGCTTTAAGCAAATTGAAAGGGGGGTGTGAATAACTTTTTTCTTCACTTTAGTATTTAAGGTCAGTGGTGTTCACCATAAATGTAGGTCGATTGTGACGTCAAAATGACGTAAATTTGGCCAAAATCCGCCATGTTTTTGGTCACACATTTTTGACTGACGAGGTATTGGAGCACGATCTCCAGATATATTAAGTATAGCTCAGTGGGCCCGACCTTTAATTAATGTCCCTCCAAGATCCTTTGTTTGCTTCAAAAATCCGGAAAAAAACAATTGGTCTACGACCTGTATATGAGTTTGTATGCATTTCATTTAGGACAGATAATCTCAACTGTTTTAGGGCAAGTTGACCATGACGGTCAACATGGTAACGTTGCCCGAACCCCAATCCGGGGCGAAACGTCCGAAATTGACCACACCCAAAAACAACGCTTTCGCCATACTGCTATCTACCAAACCATAAAAGCTTTGGCTATTCTGAGGTGCTTATATGGTTCAGAGATGGTACTTTTGGGGGTGGTCATTGGTAAATGTGAAATGCCTAGCACTAATATTTCACAAGAAAATGACCATGCAATAATCATAGTTAAACGTCAATTTGTGGCTTGTAACTTCAGATAAACAGCAGTGGACTTACATTACCTTTTTCCCTAAATCTTTTTGATAGAAACATAATTGGTACTTATTTAAATATATTATCACTGGTTTGGTGTAAAATAGTTAATAATTTCTGACCGAAATAATAATTTGAAATGTGCCTACCTCCTGCAAATGGACGTATTTCGGTATTTGGCCAAGTTCTCCACTTTACTCCGCTGTTTATCGGCGATCTCGTCGACATCCTACAAAAAATGTAAATCATCTCCGACATAATGGTATCAAGAACATTTTGAACAAGTTCCAACTTGGTTTCAAGTAGATCATACCTGTTTAACCATCGACAAGGTAAATCCACAACTTTGTCCAAATTCGGCGCCATTTTGTCATCCCATGTCGGTTGTCAACAATTCGGCCTTGTTACTCTTCCATCCAAGCCATTTCCATTCCACTAATAACAAATTTAACCCTTATAACGGTAGGAAACTAAAAAATCTAAACAAAATATAAGAAATGCGCCATTTTATCACCCTGTAAAAAGTTGTTTACGAGTCCTTCAAAACATTTCGTACAAATCTCGCGTGGTTTAGCAACAGGGACGTGGCAGGGGGGGGGGTAGAGACTTGAAAAATGAAGCAAAGCCCACACAGTATGTTTAAAACCAACAATCAACATTTAATTTGTACGACTTTTTCATATTAATAAATAATAATATGTATATATTTGTCGCTACAAGAAATAAAACAAACGTTTGTTTGATTGTATTTAGCTTTTAGTCTATTTCACGCAGCCTTCTTCTATCTTCGTGAAATAATCCCCCCCCCCTGTCACGTCCCTGTTACTTTGTCACGCGAGATTTGTACGGAATGTTTTGAAAGACTCGTGAGCAAAATTTTACAGGGTGATAAAATGGCGCATTTCTTATATTTGGTTTAGATTTTTTAGTTTTCTACCGTTATAAAGGGTTAAATTTATTATTAGTGGAATGGAAATGGCTTGGATGGAAGAGTAACAAGGTCGAATTGTTGACAACCGACATGGGATGACAAAATGGCGCCGAATTTGGACAAAGTTGTGGATTTACCTTGTCGATGGTTAAACAGGTATGATCTACTTGAAACTAAGTTGAAACTTGTTCAAAATGTTCTTGATACCATTATGTCTGAGATGATTTACATTTTTTGTAGGATGTCGACGATATCGCCGATAAACAGCGGAGTAAACTGGAGAACTTGGCCAAATACGTCCATTTGCACGAGGTAGGCACATTTCAAATTATTATTTCGGTCAGAAAATATTAACTATTTACACCAAACCAGTAATAATATATTTAAATAAGTACCAATTATGTTTCTATCAAAACGATTTAGGGAAAAGGTAATGTAAGTCCACTGCTGTTTATCTGAAGTTGTAAGCCACAAATTGACGTTTAACTATGATTATTGCATGGTCATTTTCTTGTGAAATATTAGTGCTAGGCATTTCACACTTACCAATGACCACCCCAAAAAGTACCATCTCTGAACCATATAAGCACCTCAGAATAGCCAAAGCTTTTATGGTTTGGTAGATAGCAGTATGGCGAAAGCGTCGTTTTTGGGTGTGGTCAGTTTCGGACGTTTCGTCCCAGATTGGGGTTCGGGCAGCGTTACCATGTTGACGGTCATGGTCAACTTGCCCTAAAACAGTTGAGATTATCTGTCCTAAATGAAATGCATACAAACTCATATACAGGTCCT